AATGGGTGGTGGGGGGGCATGCGGACCCTGCCACTGGGGCCTTCGGTGGAGCTCCCTATGGGGCCACGAAACGTGTGAGGGGTGTGCCGAAATGGGTGCGGGCCGCCATGCGAACCCTGCCACTGGGGCCTTCGGTGGAGCTCCCTATGGGGCCACGAAACGTGTGAGGGGTGTGCCGAAATGGGTGGTGGGGAGGCATGCGGAACCCTAGCCACTGGGGCCTTCGGTGGAGCTCCCTATGGGGCCACGAAACGTGTGAGGGGTGTGCCGAAATCGGTGGTGATGACGATGATGATGATGATGATGATGATGATGATGATGATGATGGTGATGATGATGATGATGATGATGATGATGATGTTGATGATGATGATGATGATGATGATGGGAGGAGGGAGGGGGAGAGAGGAGGAGGAGGAGGAGGTGAGGAACGCGGGGCGCCGTCTCTTCAAAACGAGGACCCAACACCACAGGATGGTTGGGAACAAAAGGAAAACCTGAGGCAAGCTGTGAAACACTTAAGGAACGCGGAGCCCCTCCCCAACCAAAAGGGTTCCTTCTTCAGGGCCCCGACTGTATCCTCCCCCGCTCCTTCTCTTGGTGGCTCCTGACAACTCCAGGGACGTTTTGTCGCCGCTGTTCGCTTGTCGTTCCTGACTCCATCAGAACGGTTTGAAAAAGGCACCCCTTGGAGGCCTGGAAATGGGCACCAGCACCAACACAGGGGGGGTGCCTCCACAGGGGGGAGATGATCCTAGACTTCGGTGGTGGTGGTAATATGTCGGTCACCTCGAAGCCAAAATATTACCACCATCACCGAGATCAGGATCTTCTTCCCGCGGTGGAGGCACACCGCCGATATTGGTGTTGGTGTCAACCTCTAGGCCTGCGAAAAGGCAGCCCTGAGGGTGGACGTCAGGCAGGCGGCTCTGTGATTCCCAAGCGGATGCTTACGCAGAGAGCGCAGAAAAACACGAACGACAGACGGACCACGGGCCGCCCCCGGGCCGGCTCCTGACCTGAAAGCGGGACAAGCACAACAACAGCAGCAGCAGCAACAACAGCAACAACAACAACAGCAACAGCAACAACAACAACAACAATCACTTTACCCGAACGCTCAGTGTTCTCACCAGTGCCAGGGTTTTCATGCGACGCCAGCCAATACCCCCACTTTGTGGGGGGGCAATGCAAGCTCTACCAAATATCCACACGACTCTTCGCCACCACCCACACCCAGCTTCCCGCCCTATGACGTTCGGACACTTCACTTCGTGGCCTGCGGACGACCGTGGCTACTACACTGGCGTGGAGTACACACCCACAGAAGTTGTTAAGCCTACGTTCGTACACCCACAGAAGTTGTTAAGCCTTGTTAACCCACAGAAGTTGTTAAGCCTTCCACAGAACATCTGTTGCATATGATGCATATGGTACATGATACACATGATACACATGATACGTACTCGCAAGGGAAGACGTGCAGGTGTTTTTCGAGGACCCAATGGTTTTTGGAGATTTCGGCGTGCGCGCGCAAAAAACGAATGTGTCCCGCATGGTATTATTTGACAGGGATGATGGCCCTGGCAGGTGCGCAACCGTTGTCGCAGAAGTTCGAAAAAGTTGCTCGCAAAAGCCCGTTTGACAGAAATGTTTAAAAAGTGTTGGGTTTCCTACGAATCCGCAAGAGCGCGCGGGATGAGATTTTGACATTTTTTTGTTGAAAAACCATTGGTTTTTTGATGTTTTTATGTTAAAATCGCTCCGAACACTAAGCTTTTGGAAGGATTTCGTCTTGCGCGCGCGAATGTCCACTTTACCTTATTTTTTGCAAGGGATTCTTGAAATTTGATTATATTAGAACAAGAAATGTCATTTTATAGTGTTTTTTGCAAGGGAAAACGGATTACAACAAAACAACCGGATCTTGATGACATCGTATTACCTGAGGCTTCCTCACGAAAATGATGAAAATGTAGCTGCGGCCTAGGCGCGGCGGGGGGGGCGCGCACCAGGGGGCCCAACAATAATTATTCTTTAGAATTAATAATGTTCAACAGCAAGGCAGAACAACCTGCTGGTGTACCCAGACTGGATCCACCATCTCGCCGTTTCGCCCAACGAAGTGAAACACCCAAGTGGTGTGCCTGGACTTCCCCCTCCCCCCCTACCCGCAACGCAGCGCAACGCAACACGGCTGCAGGAACAGCCTCGGTTGCGTTGCGTTGAGTTGCGCTCATTGTCGTCGTCGTCGTCGTGGTCACGCCGCCGTCGTCGTCGTCGTCGTCGTCGCGGTGGTGGTGGCGTTCGTCATCGTCGTCAGCAAACCAACAGTAGGCAGAGAGACAGAGAGGGCGAGGACGACGACGACGACGACGACGACAACGAGGAAAGGGACGCGGCCAACAGGGCCCACAAGGACCCCATGAGGGCTCGCGAGCGTCTTCGTCGTCGCCGCCGTCGTAAGGCCTCCCGAGTCAGTCGCGAGGAAATCCCACGCGAGAGGGCGTTTCCTGCATCAAGTGCTGGAAGTCTCGAACGAGAGCGCGAGTTTGAACAAACTGCTGGGAAGTATCAGGCCGGAGCCGTTGTAGTAGGTCGGGGGCCAGCAGCACAGCCTGACCCCCCTGACTTTCCTTATAAACAACGGGTGCGACCCGCGGGAGGGGTACTTCAATCAACAAGCAATGGCCACCGGGGGGGGGTCCACCATGGTTATAGTTTAGCAGTGGCAACACAAAAAAACAGCAAGCACAACAAGAAGTCTGAGACTATTCGATGTCATACGCTCGCGTGTCATTCAGCGTGTATCTCCCGCACGCCCCATACCCGCCCTCTTCGTCTCTTTGATTGTGCCCCCTTTTGGGGGGTATATCTCCCTTCCCTGCCACGTGACCTTGGCGCAGCCCATCGAACAGGAATAATAAAAATATTGAGAAAAGGGATAAAGAGGAAAAAGATAAAGGACGAGAGGGTTAGCAAGAGAGATTGGCAAGAGTAGATGTCAAGGAAGTTTTAGGCGAAAGCGCGGTGCCTGAGTAAATTATGGGCAAGCACCGTGCGAGAGCGCGACTCCAATGCGCCGAAAAAGCGATTCGCAAATATATTGTATAGACGTCTCGAGCGAGAACGCAATTCCATGATCAATCGTAAGAGAATCCCGTGCGAAAGCCAAATTGTTCAATACATCGTAAAGATGCATCAAGCGGGAGCCGCTGTTGTTGTAAACTGGGGGCTAGGGGCACAGTCCGAGGCCCAAGACTTCCCCTGGTAACGAACAGGATGCGAGCCCCATGAGCGCACTTCAACTGAAAAGCACAAGGTGCACCGGATGGAGGGAATAAGTTATATCTATTCTTCAGACAGGGGAACTCAAGAACAATCAAATTGGGATTGTTGGCGCTGCTCGCGTGCGCGTAAACCAACATGTACATCCCAATCTCTCGATACCCCTCATCCTGGTCTTCGATCGTACCCTCGTTGAGGGTGTGTCTTCCTTACCGTCCATGTGTAGCTGGCACGGCTCCTGAAAATGAAGCAAAGGAGGAATCCATAAAAAAAGAGGGGGCAAGATGAAAAGCACGCGACTCCTCACAAAATTGTGACGACTGATCAAGATACGTTGTTGTAGTAATTCGGGGCCAGCATCGCAACTTGGAGATCCGAGATTTCACTGGGCAGGTGCACCGGAAGGGGAGGATGGTTTTAGAACTGTTCCCCCTTATCCGCTCACGTACCAATCAGCATGTGTACTGCAAAACCACGATGCCCGCCATCATCGCCTTCGATCACCCCCCCCCCTCGGGGCATGTCTTCCTCACCTGCCGTCTTCCTTCCTTACCTGCCAAGCAGGAGAGATGGGAGACAGGACAAATCATGAACCCAGGAGGGAAGAACTGCGGGAATGGAGCAAGACAAGTGGCAGAACCAGACGGGCGGGTCGGCTGGGCGGCCCTTGGCGGGCGGGCGGGCGGGCGGGCGGGCCCGGGTCGAGCGGGCGGGTCGCTGAAGCGTCAGTCCTGCACGAATCGCGGGGAAATCTGCAGCGGTAGCACGAAGCCCCAGCAATCGCGAGGAGGTCCAGAGCGAGAGCGTGATTCCTGAGTGTCGAAGACGCGGCGTCTGAATAAATTGCGAGGCAGTCCCACGAGAGAGTGCGATTCCCGCGTAAACTGCAAGAACGTCCCGAGCGAAAACGCGATTATTCAATAGACTGTAAGGAACTATCGGGTTCGTTGTTTTTGAACTCCCATTACTGAAAACAGATATTGTTGATCCCCCCCTCCGGTGACCATTGTGTTTGTTCAATTGAAGCGCTTCCCCCGGGGCTCGCCCCTAGTTTTCCATCAAGGAAATTCGCAAGTGTCAAACTACACCCCGGGCCCCCAGGTAATAACAACGGCTCCCGCCTGAGACTTCCTCACAATTCAGCCAACACCCCTCCCGCCTGACTTCCTCGCATTTTACTCCTGAATCGCGCTCTCGATTGGGACTTCCTTACAATGTATTCAGGAATCGTTCTCTCGGCGCTCTGGAGTCGCGCTCTCGCTGGAGACTTGTTTGCAATTTACTCAAGAATCACGCTCTTGCGTTGGAATTCCCTGCAATTTACTCAAGCCCCGCGCTCCCGACACTCAGGCACCCTGGGGTCGCGCTGACGCATAGGACCCCCTCACTCCCTCACAGCTTAATTGGGCATCGAGATGTGGCTGCCCTTCGTGGCCCAGAGCAGCCCTTCGTGGCCCCCTCGCTGCCCTTCGTGGGCCCGTTGCAGCCCTTCGTGCCCCCCTCGATTCCCTTCGTGGCCCCGTTGCAGCGCTTCGTGGCACCCTCGCTGCCCTTCGTGGCTCCGTTGCAGCGCTTCGTGCCCCCCTCGCTGCCCTTCGTGGCCCCGTTCCTTCGTTGCCCCCTCGCTGCCCTTCCTTTCTCCCTCGTCTTCCTGTTCGAGGGGCTGCGCCAATGACACATGTCAGGTAAAGGAGATATACCCCCAAAGGGGTACAGTCGAAGATGAAGAGGGCGAGCAGCAAGGGTTTGGGATATGCAGGTTGATAGACACGCACGCATGTAAGAGCGAACAGTCTTATAATGGTTGATAGTGTTGTTGCTGTTGTTGTAGCTCTGGGGGTAGCAACGCAGGTCGGAGATCCAAGATTTCCCAAGTACAACAAGTTGTGAGCCCCAGGAAGGGCACTTCAATTGAAAAAAACACTCTGAACACCGGAGGGGGGGGGGGGTCAACGTAATCATTGTTGAACGGTGAGAACCCTAAAACAACCGCAAACGCTCGCGACAGAAGGCACGAACGCGAACCTCGAGCCTCGATCCGGCGGCGAGACCAAGGGGGGGAAGTGAGAAGGGGAAGGCCTTCTCAGGAAGACCCACACGTCGCCTGGCCTTCTCAGAAGGCCTTCTCAGAAGGCCTTCTCAGAAGGCCTTCTCAGAAGGCCTTCTCAGAAGGCCTTCTCAGAAGACCCCCGCGTGTTCTGCGCCTTTTCCCCGAAAACACAGAAAAAGCTTCTCCGAAGGCGCGCGGGCTTCTGAGAAGCCCCGTGGCCTTCGGAGAGGGCCTTTTCCCTCCTCACCTCCCCCGCTCGCTCGCTGCCGATCGATACGGTGGGGGCGCTGGTTCAGGAGTGTGCCCGTGAGCCTTCGGATCCTTAGGACACACACTTCTCGGATGAGGGCGGTGGTGATATCCATGGCCAGTCCTCGATTGAAGTTGCCCCAGCTTCCAGATTCCTTATCCAGGGGTTCCTTACTCAATGCCCTCACCGTACCTCGTGGCGGCCCCGAGGCCTCTCCAGGAACTGCTCCAGCGCCAGGATCCCGAACTTGAACATCTTCGTGTGCAGCGGTCGGCGCAGCGCCTCCACCACGCAGCGCAGGGCCAGGCCCAGGTACGAGGTCTGCACCAGGTCGCACTGGGCGGGGGGCCGCTCGGGCCATGGGGCAGGACAACATGGCAATACAGGGGTTGGGTCGGGCACGTCCCCCTGCAGACGGATTTGGAACGAAAAATGACAACAACAACAACAACAACAACAACAACAACAACAACAGCAGCAGCAGCAGCAACAACAACAACAACAACAACAACAACAACAAAATACCAACAACTAATAAAACAATCGTCCCCTGACGATTTTTGAGTGACAGGCCCGACTTCCTACAGAGGAAAGGGTCACAACCCTCCCAGACGAGCAATCTTAGACCCCCACAAGCAGGCCATGAAAGGGCGGCCTTTTGCCCAGACCCCCCAGAACCCTCCAAGACAGCTCCAAGCAGATCCCCCCAAAAAAATCGGGCCACACACCTTTTATTGTAAAGACTGGAGTGAGCTTGGGTCGTAGGTCTACAAGCACGGTATGGGCCATCTACGCCGAAAGCAACCAAAACTGATGGTATGCTATGGGCTCCCGTCGCCAGGACAGATAGGGAACATGCACTTTCAAAGGTCCGCGCGGATTCCCTGTCGGCGCTGGGCCCCCCTGGTGGCTCCTTTGGAGCAATCCATGGGCACGCTTCGCCCGCCAGGGGAGGGAGATACGCCGCCGACCCCAGCAATCCGCGCGGACCTGCAACAATGTGATTCATACCGGTTTCTTCTCCGCTTCCACAGCGTCGAGCACTAGACGGACAAGATCACCCTGCGAAGCGATGCGGGGGTGAAGTAGTGACTGGTCGAAGGCCGTCGCACAGGCGTGGCCGAGTCAGGACGGCGTCCACCGAAAAAAGACAGGATCGGATACAATGACATAGTGTCAAAGGGTCTGGTATTGCATGGGATCACATCAAATCATATTTGTGTTGCCGATGACCAATGCACCAGTTGAATCCTCGCGTTGCAGTGCCAGGCTCCTGTAATGAAAGCGGCCTATCTGCGGCCAGCAGCAAATCGCGGGAGGAGAAGGGAGAGGTGGCGGAGGAGGAGGAGGAGGAGGAGGAGGAGGAGGAGGAGGAGGAGGAGGAGGAGGGAGGGGGAGGGGGAAGAGGAGGGGGAATTAGAGGTAGGAGGGGAGAGGAGAGGAGGATGAGGGGTAGGAGTAGGAGGAGGATAAAGGAGGCAGGAGGAGGTGGAGGAAGGAGTAGGAGTAGGAGGAGTAAGAGGAGAGGAGGTAGGAAGGAGGAGAGGAGTAGGCGGGGGGGGGGAGGAGGAAAAGGAGAAGGAGGAGGAGAGGATGAGGAGGAGAGAAGGAAGGAGGAGTAGGAGTGAGGATGGAGGAGGAGAGGAGGAGGCGGAGGCGGAGGAGGAGGATGAGGAGGAGGAGGGAGGAGGCGGAGAGGAGGAAAAGGAGTATGGGAGGAGGAGGAGGAGGAAGACAGGTCGCCTGAGCCTTTCGAGGAACCCCCCCACCGCTGTCCCCATACCATGCTCCCCCCCTCTCCCTCCGGCGGGCCGCTTGCAACGAGCGGGGCGCCCTGACCCCTCGGAAGAGCCCTCCCGCCGAGGTGCCGCGTCGTGGCGGAAATCACGACGACTTCCTCCTCCTCCTCATC